ATTGCAAGCAGGGGTGGGTGGGTTTGGCGGCGTGCATGCACATTCAGCAGAAGTGCACGTACACACACGGCGAGCACACACATGTGCGCCACGTCCACAGATGCACGGGAAAGCCTGCTCTGGATTCAGAAGCAGGATTGGGGTGGGGGATGCCTTCCTTGGGGCCACAAACAGGTTTCAAGGCCAAGCACACCTACAACACGCATGATCAAAGTTCCAGCCAGACCCTGGCCTGGCAGGGCCCAGATTTCTCCAAGAACAGCTTTTCAGGCCCAGGGAATATGCCTGGCTCAGCAGAATGCTTAATCCCTCAGAGGCCGCCTGGCTTCCTTGGCCCTGGCTGAGATAACAGGGCTCTGGCACCGCGAAAGCCAGGCGCTGAGGCAGTAGTATCGGCGCTGGGGTTGGGGGAACGCAGCCTCGCGTGACTTCTTCTCCGCCATTTACCCAATGTGCTCCCAGAATCCCTCACAACGCTCCCTCGCCCTGGCCCCCGTGGGGTACCCCAGGCTGTGGTTTGGGCTCCCGCGCTCAGCACTCTGGGCCCGGCCCAAGGGCTGTCGAAATGCGCATGACAAGAGCGCCACCTGGTGTCTCCACAGTCCAGCAGAGTCTGCGTTGTCCTTTGCCCCAAGGTTGAAACAAACACCTTTGCTTCTTACCCCACTCCCATCCACAGCACGTAGCACCTGCACTGTACACTGTGTCCCTCAGCCTGGGGCTCCAACCGTCATTCTCACCAGAGGCCTGGAATCCATAACCCTGATATCTGCCTGGGCTAGGACACATGCACCCTCTGGGGGCCACAGCACACAACTCCTCCTTACTGAGCCCTTCAGCAACCGTCCTTTCCTCCAGGAAGATATCACCACCCCATATACATGGCTCTTTGAGCCACACACTTCTCTCCTTGTCCATATGCCTGGACACACGCCCTCCTCGTCCCTACTGTCCCGAGCACCATCTGTGGTCATGACTCTGAAGTAAGCCTCTAGACACAGCCAGTTCAAACCCTGGAAGGTGTGGCCTCCAAAGGCCAGCAAGGGAGGACACAGCTCCGTGGTAAAGTGGCAGACAGCGTGATGGCTCAGCAGTTAGGAGACCCTGCTGCTCTGGCAGAGGTTCCGAGTTTGGTTGGTTATTCATGTTGGGCAGCTCACAATCGTCTGTAACCCCAGCTCCAGGGTATATGCCACACCCTCTTCTGGTTTCTGCAGGCACTGTACACACACGTGTACACACACGTGTACACACACGTGTACACACACACACACACACACACACACAAAGAATATGGAAAAGCCAGTGGAAAGGCCAAGGTTGAGGCTGATTCTCCTCCCTACCCTTTACAGATGGGGAAACTGAGGCTCAGGGATGTCCTTATGGGGCATGCCTGGGAACAAGACTTAAAAAGGAGGTTGTGTATCCTATTTTAGATATACAGTTTTGAGCAGCTGGAGTGTTAAGCTTCCCTTGGCACAGTGGAAAGATGTAAGAGAGACGTGAGCCTACTCACAGAACCCCACCACACACAGGTTGCCCAGAAAAGAGCGGTATTCTAGAAGGGAGTATGCAGAGCTGACCAGAGGTCAGCCCTCATAGCAGAGAAGCAACTCTGTTAGGCACAGAGCCTGTGCAAAGGCCCTGGGGTCGTTGGGAGTGAGTGATGAGGAGGGAGGAGAGGATTGGAGATTGGGGGGGGGGTACTTAAATGTGTAGCACTCTGAGGACCGTGAGAGAGAAGTTGGAAATTATCCCAAACCACCCAGGGAACATCTGGGACGCTCAGGGTTTTGTCCTATAAAGTCTCTCTCTAGCTGTTGTGAGGCAGGAAGGGTCCAGGGACAAAGGAGGTAATGAGGTCACTGCCCTCACCGCGGGGGACAAAGAGCCACTTCTGGGAAGCAGAACAGACTTGGGAGGGGCTGCCTTGGGAGTGGAGACCTGCTCACACAGAGGGAAGGGGTAGGGGGAGTGGATATCACAAGGTCCCACCCACACCCGCCTAGGCTTTGGGGCAGTAAGGTCTATGGGCGTAATTCCAAGAGTAGCCACCAGATGGCATACAGGCCCAGAAAGAGCCTGGCCTGAGGGAGGCAGCAGAGGCCACCAGGAGAGGGAGCCTAAGCCAGAAGTTAATGTGGATGGGGCAGGAGGGAGGGCAGCAACCACCCCAAGTCTGGAGCTACCACATGAGGAAAGGAGCAGGTGCATTCATGGGCCCACACACACGAGAACACATATTGACCCATGAACATACAGTTACATATAAAAACACTGTTTACACATAGGCATGAACATAGTTGCATATGCAGATACACACAAATTTACACACAAGTGCACAGGTATACAGGAAATCAAACACATGTAAATATCCACTCACACTCACACACATGCTCAGATCAAACACACACTTGCTTAAAGACACAGGTTTGAATACATGGGTACATGCTTGTGTGAACACATTCTCATGAATGCATATACAGATGCATGCTTACAGAACTTCCAGGGAAGTGTTCTGACCGTCAGGCCCTGCTCAACACAAGAACTAGCAGGTACGTTTGGCCTAGGCTCTCCAGACCAAGTCCCAAGCCAGGGATTCCAGAACCCTAGCTCCTTGGGGGAGAAACCTGGGCCATTCCCCTCAGCAGCAACCAGGTACTGTGACCTCTCACAACATAGTCAGACACTAGACCTTGCCTGTGTGACAGCCAGTTCTATAGTGGGCAAGGGAACAGTCCTGAGAAGAACCTATAGGAATATCATCACACATAAGACTAAGGGACCCAGGGCCCTCTCACCCTGTGGAAGGATGCAAGCATCATGCAAAAGTCCCCAACAAAATAGAAAAGCTCCGTTGGACAGGTCATGAAAGATTATATTCTGGGACTGAGAGATGTCACCCAAGAAATCGAGACTGGCTGGCCAACACATCAAGAGAGATGCCAGCTAAGATTTGATAGCATCTTGCCAGCCACATGGAACCAACTAGAGAATAGGCACATTGGCTGGATGTTGCTTTTTTTTTAAAGCCTAAGGAACCGACCTACACTTGAAGCTCAGTGTTCATAGGCACAGGCACCATTGTGAAGTGCAGGGACAGCATAGCCTTTCACCACGGTCTCAGAATATATCAGAAGAGAAGTCACCCTCTAGTGACTACAACTCTCAATCACAGCTTCTCGATGTTACCAGCTGCCAAAACCACATGCAAAACCACAGTGACCCCCACAGAGGCAGACACACCACTGCCTGGCACTACAGCCATGTGGGTATCCCCAACATAGTTAACACGAGGTGTGTCCTGGCTTGGGTGCATTGTCCTGGGTCAGGCTGGGAGTGGGGACAAGGAAATTGCCAGGGACCCCTGAAATATGCTACAGAGCCCACTGTAGGGTGCAGGAGCCTGGCCAGATGAACCCTCCAGTGGCCTGTGGAGGAGAACTGGGTACTTCCAGGCAAGGCCCATGTCTGATTTGGTCCACAGTGAAGACACATATCCTATGGTGAGGGGAAATGGGGGGCTTTGGGGTGAGTGGCATTCTGTGCTGGGAAGCTAGAGATGGGACGGAACAGTGGAGACTCCCAAAGCCATTGGCAGCATCACACATGACCGCTAAAATCTGAGGAAGAAGACATCACATTCAGGCCAGAACCAGAGACCTCTATGACCCAGGGAAGGGATATTCCCTGCGGCTCAAAATCTAGAAGCAATAGAGGAAAGACAAAGTTGACACATGAAAAACGTGTGCCACTGAGTGGCCCTCACTGTGATTCAAGACCTAGCAAGACAAGCTTCCCAGCTGACAGCTAGGTCTTGAATCACAGTGAGGGACAGCTAATTGTGGTCCTTGCTCCCTGTGAGCATTGGGAACATCCCATCGCAAGAGGAAAACACTAATGTACCCCAGCAGAAGGCCATTCGGCTGCACCGGTTACCATCTTTTCCCCCTTAGTCCCAGCCATGCTGGCCTGCACCCACCTTCTCAGCAGCATCATGGCGGGCGGCATCCACACCGCTTCTAAAGTCCACACGGCCCCATGTCTGGCCCAACAGTGAATGGTGATGCATGGGGTACTCTACTCTCATGGCAACTGGCTCTAGGCTCTGGATAGCCCTTCCAGAACAGCGTCTGCCTCAGTTGCAATATCCAACCCTGGCCCTGTTTCAGGGCTCACAGCTGCCAGATAAACAGTCCTTCAGTCCCTCCAAGCATGTAGGTTCACACACCACACAGTACCCTGAAGGTTGGCTCCTCAGAGCGTAGGGTCACACAGGACAGTTCCCAAGTCCTTCACAGAGTATGGAATCATCATAAAAGACAGTCTCCCAAGTGTCTCACAGTATGTGGGTCACAAAGGACAGTCCTCAAGCCCTTCATAGAATGTGGCTGGACCCTGGCATTTGGGAATTCCATTCCTCAAACTTTCCACATGTTACTCTATGCTGGGACAGGGCACATGGGAGAGATGTCCCAGGCCTGGTCTGCAGAGAGAGAGAGAGAGAGACCCGAGCTATGTATCAAAGTAGTTGTGGTGCCCACTAGGACTGCCATGGTGATCCTGCCAGAAATAATGCATGAAAGTCTCCTGGGCTGATATAGGGTCCACCCTGATGACTGGGAGAGAGTCTGGGCTAGGACACCTGCAGGACTCATGAGTCAGTAATAACATACACAGGAATCACCCAGCCCTAGGCAATGCCCCCCACCCCCACCTCTCAGTGTCATTGTGCTCATGCCATCCTGCCTTCCTTCTGGGCCCAGTCTGAAAGTTCTCCATACAAATTCCTTTCTCACTCAGCTCCAGTCCCCTTATGTTCTTCCCGCCTTTCAACACACAGCCCAGGGTCCTGGCAGGCATGGATGCAGGGGAATTGCCCTCTCCGATACCCCAGTACCAGGGTGGTGGAGACCAGGGATGACTCCTCTACCCAGCCCTCCTTCACCTCTTCCACTTGTAGTGATGACATTCAGTGATGTCCCTGGGTGCCTACATACCATCCAGAAGAGGGTCCCAGTGGCCAGAGCAGCATACTGTTCAATAGTGGACAGGACACTGAAGATGAGGCAGACCAGAACAATGAGGAAGCTGTGAAACAGGGGCATATGGTCAGTGCCTGGTCCAGCTGCCCCCGCTGCCTCCCTCCTTCCCGACACCCCACACGCAAGATCATTAGCGCTGGCGACCCCAAGTATCCCTCAGCTAGTGCACTCAGACATGGGGTCCCTAGGATGGAAACCATTTACCATCATGAGGATGGACCCCAAACTGGTGTCTCAATGTACATAGACCTTGAAAATGCCACACTAGGTGGCCACCCCATCCCCATCCCAAGATCATCTGTCACCTGACTGCTCTGGTCCAGCAGCCAATCCACAGGAACGTCCCACAGGTCAGGGGCTCCTAGGAGACTCAATAGTCCAGCCTCAGAATGTCCAAGAGCCTTGGTGTACAACTGATGCCCAAAAAGCCATTTTAACAAACTGGGGCCTCCATGCCCAGGAGTGCAGGAGGGTACAGCCCCTCAGCTAATGGGGAGACACCAAGAAAGAAGGGCCAAGCACAGCCAGGACCTGTACCCCGAGGGCACCCAGAAGGCACAGCTGGCACACAGAGGGCACAGTCGCCACCTGCTCTGATTCCAAGGGCACTGAAATGATAAGTTGCCCTTCCACTGAGCTCTCCATCCCTGGGTATCACCACCCAAGGTAGCCTTCAAAGTTGCCCCTATTTGAGGGACAGGGTAGCAGATAGGGAGGTGCTTGGGGGGGTGCTTCAAAGACTCTGCATGCCCTTATGGCAGGTTCTTGGGGATCAGAATGGAAGTGGGGGAGCTGGCACACTGTCCCAGGCCCAGAAGAGGGGCAGACAAAGAAGCCATACAGAAAGACATCAGGGCCCCAGCACAGACCCCTGCTCACATCAAGGAACTCACACACCTTCCACCAATCCCATATCTGGTTTCCCCAATTTATAAGGCCCAGACCACCAGCCTCAACCTCCCAGAGGCCATGTAGTGGCAGTGGCCTGACTCAGGCACAGTTTCCTGAGGGAGGCACAACTCGGGTCTCCCGTACCTCCCAAGACTGATTCCATCCATTCCTGGCCTTTGCAGCCACCACTCAGGCCTGGAGGACCGACAGAGCTAAAAGCCCCATCACTCCCATTGCCCTCTTCTGCTACCTGGCCTGCCAGGTCAAAGCCTGCAGTCACAGCTAACCATGCCTCTCCCATGACAGACACTTCATTTGTCATGGCCACTTGCTCCCCCATGCAAAGCACATCCCAGCCTCCTCCTTACCCTCGCCCAGGTACCCACTCCACCTTCAGCTCCCCCACATCATCATCCCTAGTGTGATACAGCAGTGGACCCAGTCCTGGCTCCCTGCCCCTCCTTCCTGGTCTTGAGGACCTCCTGTCACTGCCCTGCCTGGAGACAGAGACTCGGGCTCCTACAAAGTGGTCCCATCTCACATGCAAAGAGGTGGCTCCAGTGCCTACTCAGTCCCCCATGCCACCTCGGTCACAACACTTATGGCCAAGTATCTCTACCAACTCCTAGTGCCTGCAGCCACCCCCAGATAGTGAGCATCTCTGGAACAGGTGCCTCGTAGAGAGCCTGGTGTACAGAGATCTCAGTTCCCCAACACATACACACCTCCATTTAATTCCTAGCTCCTGCCCCTCTCACCACACCTATGGTGACCTCATGCCACGGTAGGCAATAGCCCCAATTGGCACTGATCCCTGGCCACCATCCACCCCAGGATGCTCACCTGGAGCACACACCTAATTTGGCCCCAGAAGAACCCCTGTGTAGGCTTCAGCCCTCATCACTCCCCAGATTGAGGCCTTCTCTCCCGCCATGCTTTCCTCGTAGGCCTAGGGCTCTGGCTGTAGCCAGCCTCTAACCTTGGCACCCAGTGCTGCTACCAGTGATTGTTTCCTCACATCCACTCTCCACATTGCCTCTGCCCTGGGGACCCTCCCAGAGCAACATGACAGCACACCCAGATCCTCCTGGACCCCCTAGTGGTGTTTCCCGTGGCCAGTGGTAACCACGCGGATGGTCACGTTGAATGGCATTGGTCCGTGGAAGCCCCTGTGTGGTGGACCAGCCACATGGGTCATCGAGAAGCCTTGGCTCTTGTGTGGACCCAGCAAACACTGGGTGAGGTGAGCACCCCTCCGCCACCCACCCACAGGGTTGGCTTCCATCCAGGCCTGCTGGAGAGGTCTGGTTCTCAGTCATGGATCCCTATCTGCTTTCTGAGGCCCTTACAGCCTTTTGGGACTCAGTTCCTCTCTGGCTAGGCTCTGCTCTCTCCTCAGGCTGACTCTTCACACAGCGGGACCTTACTAATCCTGGGTGTGTGCTGTTTTCACTTGCAGCAGGCAGGGAAGCAGGGTTGGGTCCATCCCTGGGTAACAGAAAGAAGAACAGACGCTCCACCCCAGACCATTGGTTACACCACCAGCATGAAGAGACACAGCCCCTTCTGGCTGCCCCTCAACAGCGAAATAGCCAAGTGGCCCCCATTCCCCATTGGCGTGGTAGGAGCTTAGAAACACCCTCTCATGGAGCTACGGGTTACAGCACAATGCACACCCCTCCAGGGCTCAACGCCTAGAAGTGAGGTGGTGACTATCCCAAGGTCTTTGAGGAGCCTCCAAACTCCTGGTGTCACCACACATGATGAAAACCTCCTGCTACCCAGGGAGCACCTTAAGGTCCAATGTCAAGGACTCCTTTCAGGGCACCCTGCGGCCAGGTCCACTCACTTATCACCTGGCCAGGGCTTGACAGGGAGTAACACCAGTCCCATAGGAATCTGACAGTCACAGTGTTACCGTGATGGAATCCAGCTGCTATTTCAGAGGGGACACTGAGGTTCCTGGGGCTCCTTAGGTCACCCAGGCTGAACCACGAGGTGACAATGACATATCTCCTAATGGGATTTCGATTCTTTCACTGTCAGGTTGACAGCTTAGCCTTTCAAGCCCCGTAAGGTAGCCTTGGCTCCAAAATGGAATACAATAGCTACAGAACCCGAGGATCAGAGAGCTTATGTGTAGCAAAGGATCAAAGACCTTCCCATAGGCCACAAGAGGAGGAATGGCTGCTGCAGGCCACTCTGTCCACATCTGCAGGAGGCTCAGGGCCTCAGGAGGGCAGCAGCTGCAGCCTGTGGGGAGAAATTCCAACAGCCTGGAAGGAGGTGTGCAAACAAGGCTGTGTGGAAGGGCCCCCTACTCTCTGACTGCCCCCACTGGCAGCAGGGAAGGCCTTGGACACACAGACCAATCCCGGGGTAGAGGTGCAGAACAGCTAAGTTCTCAGCGCAGACAGAAAACCACCTAGTGACCAGGAGGGTGGCCGGAGCCAGGCAACGCACTCACCACAGCTAGCCCTGCTGACCTGCCCAGGAACCTTGAGGTTGGGGACAATGGTGGCAATCTGCCCCCACGTGCTGGCTGCCTTTTAGCCTCAAGTATTCTGAAAACTAAACAGTTCTTCAAATATTTAAACACACTGTGCTGCCCGAGAAAGGGTTATACAGCATAGTTTATTCTTTATCTACTCCCGATAAAATGAGTATTATCTTATTTGCTACTTTATCTGTTCCTGGCCTGGGTGGGGCTGGGAGCTTCAGAGAGGCCGCACCAAGGGTCTCTGCCTTTGGAGAGCTCAAAGGCCAGCTGCCCACCCCCTTCTTGCCTCTACAGAGCAATCACCATCGCTTCACCCTACCTGCATACCCTAGGTCAGGCCACCGTAAGATGCCCTCTCTACTTCCCCCACCAGAAGCAAGGCAAACTAGGGCCCAGGAAAATGCCTGTGTCCCTAGACACAAACTAGCATGTTCTGAAACGAGTTCACTGTGCAGGGTATGAAACAGGAGGTTCTCCGGAACAATAGCCTGCTTTCTCCACTCCCTCTAAATCAAACTCATTGGCCGTGACCGCCACCCAGCCCTGAGGGACGTCCAATGCCTTATCGGACATCACTTCAATATCTCTGTGCCCAGGTGCCCTGGGAACACAGAACGTGGCCTCGAGCCAGCACCACGTGGCTGCCCCAGAAGGAGGCATAGGGGTACAGGGAACAGTGATGGGGGCATGCATAGGCCAGCTATGGCAAATAGGGACTATGACTCGGAGATTGCCTCCATACATGCCAGGCCCCTGAGTAGTAGCTGACCCAGGAGAGGCCAGGGCTGGGCCTAGAACTCTGGCCACCAGACCCACTCAGACACAGGTCTGATATTGATATTGTCCCCAGCCCGAGCACCTCATCATCCCATTGAGAAGGATTATGCTCTATACATGCAAATGGCACAGGGTCTGTTCCAGAGAAATTGACCTTCAGCCTAACTACCATCAAATTCCGGGACCTAAAATGTAACACTGAAACATCTCAGGAGACATTGAGCTATTATATCTGCATGCATGATAATAGTGTGAAGTGCCCTGAAAGTATTGTTATTTAAGGTGTGTGTGTGTGTGTGTGTGTGTGTGTGTGTGTGTGTGTGTGTGTGTGCAAATGTCATACACAAAAGATCACTAGGCATGGGTGGACCTTAAGGACACTTGCTGAGATAAGCCAGGAATGAGAGGACACACATTTCAGGATGCTTCTCTTCAGAGGCCCCCAGAGTTAGCAGGTCTGCAGAGACAGAAGGCTGGGAACAGTTTCAGTCTAAAAAGATAGAGAGTTCTGGAGGTGGGAACGACTACACATTCTGCGAGTGAGCTTCACACTTCTGACATAAGCACACAGACATGGTCATCACCATGACTAAAGCAGATTTAAGAAAGAAAACCCGGGGCTGCAGAGATGGCTCCATGGCTAAAAGCACCTGCTGCTCTTCCAGAGGACCAGAGTTTCAGTTCCCAACACCCATGTTGGGTGACTCACAACTGCCTTTAACTCCCGCTTCAGGGGATTAGATATCCTTGTTTGGCCTCTATGGGTGCACCCATGCATGCATGCACACACATACATACAAATTAAAAGAAAGAGAACCAAGCAAATGGCTTTGACAGTGGACTGGGAGCTGGCCAAACACACAGGCCATGAGCTGTAA